CTTAGTTTTTCTGGTTCCCGGCTTATTAATTATGGCTTCAGAACCTTTCCGTGTCCGTACTGGGAGAGGGAGCGGAGTTGGGGAGGGGGGAGGGGGGAGGAAGGATGTTGCGCGGGACTGGATTCATTCATACGTGAGCAGCATTTCTTCTACTTTTCAGCCTTCTAGCTTTCCCGGTTTCCGGTTCAATAATTTCGTGCCAAAACTTCCACATGCCTACACTAGGACCTAGACGTACGTGAAAGTTGAATTTAATTCGCGGAGTCATACACGGACAAGGAGCACTCTTCTAAAATTTCAGTTTGCTTAGCTTTTGCCGTTTCCCGAGTCATTAACTCTACCGCCAAAAATTTCACATTTTTCTACGTGAGACCCGAACGTGCGCGTGAGCTGGACTTGAGTTTCTGGGATTATAGGCGGACAGAGAACATTCACCCAAAATTTCAGCTTCCTAGCTTTTGTGTTCCCCGAGTTATCATTGTAGGCAACAAAACTTTCACGTGGCCATAAGTGGGACGTAGGCGTGCGCAAGCGCTGAATCCGAGTCAGCGAGTTCGTACGCGATACGGAATTCTCCCTTAAAATTTCAGCTTACTAGCTTCTCTGATTCCCGAGTTGAAAACCTTGGATAAAAAGCAGTGGGAGTAATCATACACAAACATACGTATATGAGGACAGGGTCTCGATAATGTGCGTTTTGTGCAACTGTTGCAGCATAAAATGCATAAAAACTGCTAACGAAAGAGTAACCTTTCAGCGAGAGATTTTGATTTTCGCGATTTTCTTATTTTGATCTTTCAGTGAAACGAAATTTTGTTTTTCAGCATGCTGCAGAGCTGCTTAGATTGCAAGAAGCTAACGATGAGCAAACGAGAAATTTCGCAAAGCTGCGATATTTAGCGTATTTACGGACTCAGCAAAGCCACCAGTGTCCGATATGCTTGTCGCTTCTTACGGATTCCTGGATGATCTATCCGTGCATGCATTTCGTCTGCATTCGTTGCTTCAATAGACTTTCCAGACGGTAAAACTCATTTGGTGCTTTAGAATTTGAAATCTTAAAATTGGATGTAAAAATTAATTTTTGATATCAGCGTTTCCCAGGTATTACGAAATCGACGCGGTTTTAGAGTTTCTTTTTTTTGTTCCCCTTT